ACGGACGAAAGCTCAGCAAGAATTCATCGGGGTCGCAGGGCGGTGCGCCGAGGACCTTTTCGCACAAATCTACAACCACAGCTCTAAAACAACCCCCATTAAGTCCTAGGTCGAACCAACTTACGAATCCATTCCACTCAACTTTTTACACAAAATGAAAGGTACTCCGACAAATTAGGAGAGAACCTTAAGCTATCACCGCAGCAGCCTGCAGTTTTTTTGCTGTACCTGGAAGATTATCTGAAATTTATTAAACAGCTTGATTAATTAATTAAATTCATAATGGAAGTAGATGAAGATGAGTGATTAAATTTCCATGATATTCAATTCATTTAATTGGATGTGACACTCAAGAGGAACTTGTTCAGAAAGAGTCAGCTTCCGTAATAATACTCAGTTACAGTACCCTAACAGCCACAGGCTAAAGATTGGAATAATGAAGAGTAATGAAGAGTAATAAACGTGGAATTCAGGGATGAAGAATTGGACAAATTGACTCGATTATTGAGGTTGTTTGACCTTGTTTTCGCAACATGGTCATATTGGTAGGAAGACTTAGATGAACGCACCTAGTCCAAAGTCCATTGTCTGCATGATCATTTCCAAAGTTGAACCGCGGACGTGGTACATTCCCAAACGTTTCGCCGGCATCGTCTGTGAGTATCGCCATCCTTAGCATCATACAACAACTCGTCAAAGATACAAGTGAAGCCGATCCTTTGACCAAACGTATGCTAAACAATTATGGTAACTCCCCTTCTGCCCTGGGTTATTCGCGTTTCCGGTAACATCCTATCATGCCTCCACTATTACAATTTTTACCGTGTTTATTTAGATATTGTGGTGTGCTCCTTTGAGCGAAATGACTCCTTCACCCTTCAACTGTCGTTTTCACCCCCACCTTTCTTTCATCCTTGTGCAGAAAATGCTGATCAGAGTCTGATTTATTATTATATAGTCCTCTATCCTAGTCTTATTCCAGTCTCCCTCTTGCTCCGTAAAATCCGTCTGCTCTACCCCTTGTTCACCTATTTCACTCGACTCTTGCCACCGCATCTGTCCTACTCGAGGCGTTATTCGCCCTCACCTGCGTCCAGGTGACTAATTCGAGGCGCAAGCCTCTGAGTGTCATGGTCACCCTTTTGCTGCATGTACCACACCTCTGGTACAACAGATCTACCGTCAGCCAACAAGCTCTGGTCCCCGCCGTCTCTATCTTCTTTCTATCCCTAATACCAAGTCTATAATTTGGCATGTCCTAGTTTATTCTGTGTCAACCCACAAATGTTGTGGTACAGCTTGTTTTGATTTGGTCCAATGTTGAACCACAGCATTTGTGGGTTAGCACACAAGAGACTAGGGCAAAGGAAGTAATAGGCTTGGTATTAGCGATAAAAACAGGATAAAGACGGCAAGGAGTGGAGCTAGTTGGCTGACGGTAGATATGTTGTACCAGAGGCGTGGCACATGTAGAAAAGGTGACCATGACACTCAGAGGCTTGCGCCTCGAATTAGTCACCCGGACGCAGGTGAGGGCGAATAACGCATCGAGTAGGATAGATATGGTTGCAGGAGTCGAGTGAAATAGGTGAACAAGGGTTAGAGCAGACGGATTTTACGGAGCAAGGAAGAGACTGGGATAAGACTAGGAAAGAGGACTGCATAATGATAAAGCAGACTCTGGTCAACATTTCCTGCACAAGGATGAAGGGGGGGTGAGAACGAGAGTTGGAGTTTGAAGGAGGCATGTTGCCCAAAGGAGCACACCACACTAGCTAAATAAACACGGTAAAAAATTTTCATAGTGAAGGCATGATAGGATGTTACCGGAAACGCGAATAACCCAGGGCAGAAGGGGAGATATCATAATTGTTTGGCATACATTTGGTCAAAGGATCGGCTTTTCTAGTCTATTTGACGAGTTGTTGTATGATGCTAGGGATGGCGATACTCACTGACGATGCCGACTACGATGCCGGCGAAACGTTTGGGAATGTACTACGTCCACAGTTCAACTTTGGAAATGATCATGCAGACAGTGGACCCTGGACTAGGTGCATTCCTCTAAGTCTTCCTACCAATATGACCATGTTGCGAAAACAAAGTCAAACAACCTCTATAGAACAAAAGGAGACTGCGACCACACAAAAGGCCACACCATCTTGGTCTTCATACCATTGACTCGGATATTCCTCAGCAACAGATACTTGATAAAAATAGTACAAAAAACATAAGGACCTTGAAAGTCAATTACAGGACAGATGCTATTAATGAAAGGTAAATGTGGAAAAGACTTATGAAAGCGAATTTGTCTGCATTCATGCGAATTAACTTAAAGACTATGGACAATATTTTAAAAATAAAATATGTAGATGAACATGAAGGAAAAAACAACACTTCTCATAAGTTTACTGACGCAACATGAGAAGCAAGGCCAGGGAGCTAATGCATAGCATATTACTACGAATAAAAAGGTAACAGTAAAACAGTGATAAAAATTAACCTACGAATAGAAGAACGCTAAATTTTCTGCAGTAAAATGAATACTTAGAGTTTAGAAATAGCGGAACACATTATACAAACTGGACCTCATACCAATTGGAGAACAACTGAAATAGAGGTCTCATACAATGTAAATCCAAAGAAACGGAAGATCAGAGAGGCCAAATACATTCTTAGAGAAAGAAATTAAATAACATGAAATGGAAGAAAGCAGATTTAGTGATTAATTTACCTATTGCTTAAGCGAATTTGGAGAAAGTAAGGATACGGAAAAACCAGCAAAAAGGAGACGCCTGGATCAAGGGCTTATCGTAAAGCATATGAAAAAGGATCACAACGAAGAAGCAGATAGGCAACTTTCAGAAATCAATAGAATACGATCACAGCGAGTGTAAACTGCTTGAATAAGCAACTACAGTGTTGGATAATTGCTGTCATAGGACTAGGGTGACGGATAAGCACAACCATCACAGAAATTTGGTACAAAATGAGTAAAAATCTGTTTTGAGAAACAGCAGATGACCATGGATAGGCGTCCATAATTAGTTCAGACTAGACGGTTTGAATCAAGGAGATGACCCGTGAACACAAAGCTTGATATCTGCAAGCATGATAAACATAGCCCGGGTGCTCTACTTGGTGAAGCGAGAATGCATGCGTAACAGAAGGGTTGAGAAATAGTGCTTGGAGTAGAAAGTACACTGAGATTGGAACCGAGTTAAATCTCTTAACTATAATGATAAAAACGGATTCACAGAATCATGACGCAGGTCCAGATTGGAAGCCCGAATCGGAGTAACCATTTAAAGAAAAGTGGGCAAGGTGAAGATTACATGTAATGATGCTACACTTAACTTGGTAAAAAGAACACACCTTTTGAAGAGTCGGAGAGAAACTATTCAAATTTTTTATAGATTGGAATTGAAATAATACTGTATTGAATAGGTTGTTGTGTAAGGGCAGAAAAAAAAGAGTGGTAGCACAACAGTTTGACAGGAGGCTGGTCAAGGGACTGACTTCACTTGTCACTTTAAAAAGTTGTAGCTTTATGCTGAGAATGGCAAGACGTACAGAAGATACAGATTAGGATAACGATGAAATAGGTTGGATACAATCAAAGACAAGTCGTAAAAAAACAATTTAGACAACTTCTATATTGATGCGAAACTGTACAATCCCGTATGATAACTTAGCTCTACTAGGGCTTTAATTTATAACCGGTTTCTTTTGATTATTCAACAATAATTGATTTTAACAATGCATGTTTGCACTAACCGTTATGAGTTAAACCGTACACAGGGCCGCAGTTTTTATGAAATAATGTGGGTGGGTTCGAACCCTTGAGGGAAGAAGAGTTTTAGTCATTTTTGCGGGTTTATTCGGGAAAAAAACAGTGTAAGCCACTTCTGTATTTATGCGAAACTGTAAAATTCTGTGTAATAACTTAGCTCTACTAAGGTTTTAATTTATATATGATTTATTCTTTGATCAATTAATAAAACAGATTTCCTCTGTAAAATGAATCTAAACGCGTATTATCGGCTGATTAATAATACTTATAATTAAGATAGTTTTACGCTCATTATACCGAGCATCATTCTGGTCTATCTAATAAATTAAGTTGTTTCTAATATAACCACAATATTATTATTTTATTATTATAACCTTGATAAATTTGCTGCACATTTACTTTTTAACTATAATTCAAAAATATTCTTTTATTCAATTAATTAAGTTTATTCTTATAAGGCGCGCTTTTCAAATTGAAGGCAATAGTAACAATATGAAGTCAATTAAAGATAATAATTTTTCATAAATTTTAATTGCTTCGACTATCTAAATCTTTTTTTGCCTTTTAGAATCAGCGACAAATGGCTAACCTTAATCAACAATCCTCTCGCTCAAATTAAAACATTTTCCCAATCAATATTATTCGCTGATTTAATGGGTATTGAAGAAGAGCAGCTTGTCCTGGTTGATTATACACACAATTATACTACAAATTTTCAAATGACACCGGATTTGCTGAACAAGTCTTCTAAACTATTGCTATACAAAGGTGAACTTTTGGTAAAGAATTTTGCACTCCCTGAAGTTCCATCCGGTATTGCTTCGTTTTATTCAGAAATCAGGGAACCAAAATCACAATGTATGTTTTTTATGATTGATACCGGTCTATTAAATATTTTGCACGAAAATCAAATTTACTTTTTCTATTAAACTCTCCTCTGTCTGTACCTCGTTTGAATCACACATTCTAAAATGAACCACTTAGGTGAAGGTAATTTTTAATTACCTGTATTAAAAATTTAGTCTTGTTATTATTGTATAGGCATTATTAGGTAACATCTATTTATCTTAACTTTTTCAGTTTTGGTTGTAGCAGCTGGATCAAATTTATATCTCTACAAAAGTTTAGCTCTA